TTTTAATTTATTGCATTTTAAAAATAAATGTTAATGCTTTGTTTTTTTCATCTACTCAACTTTTGAAAATGTTTGAAATTTGATTTTACAATAAAATACAAAAAATATAAAAGATTATCAGTGCACTTTATTGATATAAAACATATATTAATTGTAGATTTGAGATAATATCTAAAATAACATAAAACTTAACCATTAAACATTATTATATAAATGTATAATTTCTTTGTACATTATCACAAACGAAACCTAATTCATTTCAACATGCTTATATTTTAACATTTATTTGCATCACATGATTTGATAGACAACTGAAGTTTAGTTACTGAATAGTTTGTTGATTTAGCCCATTGCCAATTGGGCCGAAATAACCAGACTTTTGTGTAAAATGTATAAACTGTTATCACATTTTCCATAGGATGTAGATAAGTTAATTATTTTGCAATAAACAACATACAAATAGTTCAAGGGAAATAACTTGATAGTAAAAATGTGCTCACTAACGAATAATTTTACATGTTCCTAAACTAAATTGTACCCGCGGCTTTACCTATATACCGCTAACAATAACTGTTGTATTTATAATACTATTATGAATGTAACTTATTAACTATATTAACAAATATACAAAATTATATAGTTTGAATTTTTAATGATATTTGCAATGAGGCAATATGAAGTTTCATATCTATCCAATAGAGGTCGCGATGGCCGTTGTCTCTATCTCTGTCTATCACGTTTGAAAGAGCAGGCATACACTATAATAGTTACTAATTCCGAAACACCGCTACAAACGCTATTATATTGTTGTCTCAGTCTTTTGATAGAAGAACAAGTGAGACGGCAACAATTTCGCGACAGTGTTTGGGAAGTAACTCACTTCATACAGTCATAGCAATTAAGTATTACAAGAAATGATTTATTTACAAGATTTTAGGATTTTGGCAGTATGACAAACATATAAAAATGTAAAAAACCTCGAATATTTGTTGGACAGTTTTAGTTATCGAAAATTAGTCATTATAGTTAATTTTATAATCACTACTAGGTAAATGCATTATAAACTGGTATTAAATTATATGAGCTGCATCGTGTCTACAATATGAAAGGTTATAACACTGCGGGGATTCACATAGCCGCATACATGTATTTTGTACACTTATCACATTTATAAAACAAAACCGGAATTCTTCCAAATAAAAACTTGACATAAAATCAACCAGAACACAATAACATGATCTGACACCTTATAAATTTCACAATTGGGCGGTTTAACACGTTTTCTTAAAAAAAATATCGCACACGAGAACGCATATAAAAAAGTAATAAAGCATTCTACGCAAGTCTCATGTTATTGTGTACGCGTTGTACTATCAACATTTTCAAGTTAAATGCAAATAGTAGTACTTTTGTTATCTATAACTGTTGTCAATTATTCTTATTTTAATTTTTCTTAATAGACGTACGCTAATGAGTCTTGTTTCCGACATACATTCTCCTTGTTTATACACGCTCCTATGTTTACATACATTTTATACTATTTTACATATTACTTTTTAATATATAACTGTCGCACAATATAATTGCGACAGCCTCTACAAACACGTAAATCTATTTACAAAATATTCAAGTTTTTCAAGCCATTTGGCCCGCAATACGTTTCGCCTTTATTATAAACAATTTGTATATTGAAAATATTAACACTACTCTCTTTTTGAAGAAAACGTATGAAAGGTGTGTT